TCATATACGGTTCCTACCTTCTTCTACAGTCGCTTCTATGTTTATATTTTAGAAGAAGAGTACATTGGGGATTCAAGAATTTATTAGATATTGGGAATTCAATAGTCACTAGTCATTTCGCACCAGTACTCTTTCTCTATAATCTCACCCTTCCGGAGTTGAGTCTCATGCTGGTTAGATCACATTGCTTCAAAGGTTACAACAATAAAGATAATAAGAAAAACGCTAATACGAACGCCACTAATCCGAACCGGCCACACCAAGCTATCTAGTAGCAAGAACCCATGATCCATAAGACCCAATCAACACGGGGTACAAGTGCAAACGAAGCCAAGTAGGTCTTTGAGCAAGAGCGATCATACCGAGATTTATCGTAAAAGAACATGATAACTGAGCCACAGCCCACCCATCAGAGCTACATGCGTATAATGCAAACATATTCTTCAGAGTGAATTTTGCGCATGCTCGTGCCGTTCAGAAGGCTGTCGCTTCCAAGGGATATCTTTACTGAATAGCTCTCTTAGTTCGGGAGATATTACTTTGGGCTCGCTGTTGTCGCCTGGTGGCACGTTCGGTCCGGAGCTGGTGCCACTGCTGAACCCGGTGCTTGCTGGTCTTTGTGGCGATTTGCCTTTGTCTGCATCAGCAGGGGACTGGATGGGTTTTCGTTGGTGGGTAGAAGGGGCGGGAAAGTTGTTCTTCTTGTCTATTGCTTGAACGGCTCGTTCGAAGCGACGGAAGAGGGATTCGGCGCGGGTGAGAATTGGGACGAGTTCCATTGTGTTGGAGAGTTCGTTGACTGTAGATGCTAGCTTAATAGGGTTTCAGGCCGAGAGAATGAAAAGTACTCACTGTATTTCAGGACCTCATCAAAATGCTTTAAGTGGTCCATGATGACATCTCTGTGCTTCTCTAGGATTGCCAAAGCAATAAAAAGATGGAAGCTGCTGGATAGATAGTCGGTCCACAATGTCTCCCAAAGGCGTAAAACATCCACCCATTCGAATTCGCGCTTGTACCACACGAGGAGCATGCGGAAGAAGAAGAAAAAGTTTGTGCTGTCGGCAGACTGGAGGTGAAGGTATAGCTGAGGATCCATGAGCTGCACGAGGTGATCTAAAGTCAGAAGTTGGGCACGCATGCCAGACTGGTCACGAAGAAAGTTGCGTTCCTGTTAGATCGATCAGTAGCTGAAGGTTATTGATGACAAAGGGGGTAATCGTCACCATTCGGTCCATGAAGCCGACAAATGCCCAAAAGGCCACTGCATCATCCTGCATGACCGCATATATCGGTGCTAACAGGTCGCTCATTCCTTGAACATAGCCCAAGTCAGGGTTGTATTCATTATACGTTAACAACATGTCTTTCATCTGTTCTAGATGAACATTCGTCCCTGTGTCCGCAAATGGCGAGTCAGGGTCTGGGTGAGGAATATCTTCTCCAGCAAAGAGAGGAATTGTGCGGTCGGTACGATGTACATCCTTTTCTGTAATTGGTAAAGTTTAGTAAGTAAACAGAGACAACAGTGTGTAAAGCAGACATACCGATGCGGTTTCTCTGCTCCTTCCACCACTCATGCTGCTCCTCGGTAGACTGTCCCTCGACCATCGTTTCCCACCAGGCACCCTTTAACCGAATGTACTCATCCCGTTTGGAATTCATTAGAGCTTGACGTTCGTCACGGGAGCTATCCCATGGATATACACCGAGAAGGAAAAGCCAAGCTAATTTTCTGACGCCGTCGTTCGGATCGAGACCCCCATGGAATATTCTCTCTCTCACTTCCTCAACAGTGACCTGCAATCTGCCCGTGGTTGGGTCAAAGAACCCTTCCCATTCTTTTAAAGTCACTGTCTTGCGTCGTTCGTGGATAGACATGGTTCCAGTTTCGAGGTCGAGAATCTCGAAATCACCCACGGAGCTGTTTTCCATCTCGAGGACATCTCGTGCAGTCCATATCCGCTGGTTTCTCTCGCGTTCGCTCTGTTCAGATATGCTCATGGCCCATCGAGCAAGATATAGCCTGGCACTATCAAACTCATCCTGTAAGGTTTGGATCTCGGGTGTCTTCATCAGCCGGCGGACTTGTGGAGGAATTCGCGGGTTTTCGGCTATCTCATTCGCTGTCCGTTTTGTAAAAGTCGTGATTTTGCTCAGCTGCTCAAGCACCTTCCATCTAGTCTCCTTAATCGCTTTCATAAAAGGGTCCATTCCCGCGTCCCGCTGTCCGCTGCTACCTTGCGCGGACGGACCAGTGGCTTGGTCCTGGGCTCTGGTTACTGTTCCATCGGCCGTCAACGGTCGCCCAAACGATATGCGATCTTCTTCGGACGGGTCGATCAAATAGACGCTATTATCAACGGCTGAACGCTGCACCTCCACATACTTCCGAAGCCACCTTAGGACCTCGTCGCCACCCCAGAACAGACTGCCATCCTCACCGAAGGGGTCAAACGATTCCTGAGTCCTCTTCCGTTTTTGTAGGATGGTTGATTCGCATTCGCTGTCATGGAAAAACAGTGCGGGAAAGCTATCACCTGCACGCGTATTGATCACAAGGCTTCCAAACCACCATCCGATGCTCGGGGGTCGTACAAGCAACGAGTAGATCTCCGAGAGTGGTACGGCAAAGGCATAGAGCCCTATTGGGTCTTTATGAGTGGCGGTTGTCGGCAGAGGGGGTACCAAATATCTCTGTCGCGGCGGAGAGGAGTCGCCCGCAAGATCGACTTTGACATAGGTGTTATAGGCGTCGCCTAGCGAGGATTCCGGAACCCAGGCAAGAAGGTATGACGATAGCTCGGCCTTTCTTGAAGGGTTGGCCGACGCAATCGCATTTGAAGCACTATGAGCCGGTTTTTGTTGAATGAGGGCGATGAACCCGGGAATATTATCTTTGGAGGAAGGGGTGGGGTGAACGTAGACCTGCAATGCTCGGTATAGATCGGAGCCGTTAGCGATTAATTGATATTGAGTAGAATATTCTTCTATTGTCTAACCTTGCTTTTTGAAAAGAGCAATTTGACCCCTCTCCCAGTTGTTGCATGTGAGATGGTATTGTAATCGTCCTCCTCGTCGTCGCTGACGTCGTAGTAAGAAGCCGTCGGCGACGGCGGCGAAGGTGGCGGAGTGTACTGGACTCCCTTGCGTGCCATTTCTCTCTTTGCGTCTTTATTTCAAGACTATGGATGGATAATGTTTTGGTTGGAATGACTCAGGAAGGAAAGTTCATCCTTCTCTGTAATCCAAGTAGTTATTTGTTGTCAGGAATCCCCCGTTTAGTAGGTGGATTGCGGGGAGAAATGAAGAAAGGCGCAAACGTCACGAAACCAATGGAGATCCACCTGATCACGGCTGCATGTGATCTCCACTCATGAAACTGCCAATGATTTTATGTTTATATGTCAAGATCATTCATTGCTGAGGAGCTTTCTTTCTTTCTTTTCTGTCTCCCTTCTTCTCCTGCTGCGAAAAAGAAGATACGTTCAAACAGAATAAAAAGGTATGCGACCTGTGGCTCGTTCCGTAGATAATATTTATACTAATTTATTTATCGATAACGGTCAGCATCGCCACAATCAAAATGACTGCTGCCTGGCTAAAATCGCCCACTCTGGAAGAACATTAATCCTCCTTTTTGTTCTGATTTCGAAAGATCCGAGGAGAAAGAAATACGTCTCACGAACTTAGGACACCGGTTTGGGATTATCAGGCTATCGTTGGGCCTTGACCGCTGGTCAAAGGTATCCGTATCGTGGATGGGATGGACTAGACTCTGTTCATATGCTAGGCTTTTGGAAACCTAGAATATCACAAGATGGCCCAGTCGGCAACCCGAATTCAAGTTGGATAAACCCCCGAGTCCACTGCCCCACAGGTTGAACCCTTCATCCCGTAACCCGAACCAGCTCTTGGTTATACTATGTCGGGCCGGGTCTGATGCCCTAAGTCAAGTTGCTTGGCCTACAACAACAACAGGGAGACGCGGGCTCTCAATTGTTTGAATGAAATTACTACTCACGTCTTGTGCAGAATGGATGTTATGCAGGTTACGGTGATATGCATTAGGACGAAGTTGAGGTTCATGTAGCCGTTTAGAAATAAAGGCCACTCAAGCCTTACAAGTGAACTAGACTATGAATGTGCTTGAGACAAGTTTGTCCTCTTATGAAGCTATTAAGATATAGTGGATATTTCCTACAACAGTCAAAGCTTGGCAGATAAATGGATTGCGCCGTACCGTTTATATTGATAGGTATTGAGTTCCCATCATTTCCGGGCCCGAAAGTACGTGTAGGTCTATGAGTGTCGCTCAGGTTTGAATGGTAGATACTTCGTAGGTCCAAGACTACAGGCCGATCATCTGTTAAGTCATCCATCATTAGTCACTCTCTATGCTATTAGGTAAGGAGCGAACATTACCTAGGGACCAGGTGACTAGTACAGCTGAGGGGGCATTGAGGACAATAATAGCTTCATGACACATCACTAGTGCTTTGATGCTGTCGAGGAAACATATCGATCTGTTCTCATCAACTTAGTTAATATGATAATCGATGTTGGTACCTTGTGTAGCTTCAAACACCAACCCGTCGTATACAGTGAACTGGAGACTTGCTCATCAACGCGGACTACTCTACTCGACTACGACCTGGGTCAGATGTACTGATGGAGAATTAGATACACAGAAGTAGCGAAGAGAAATGCACCCTGGAGTTGACCACATCTCCAAGGTTTGTAGGTTCCCAAATAAACTATATACTTGCAGGAGTACAACACACACAATGAGGCCACAACCGCGGGATCCGGATCCCATAGCCCGTTCAGGCAACGATACGCCTGTCCAATTGAATAGCAAAGTGATGTACTTCTGTGCAGGTCGATCAGTCACACTGAAACAATGGGAGAACATATAAGGGAATGGATAACTATGGCTTTCGTTTTTCCAAGGACAGCTGTTCCCCTTATTACCGGTACTAATATCGAAACTGTGCAAAATGTCCGAACTTGCACGCACGTTGCCAGCTTCCTGGTACTGCAGCCTTCCGCTCTACCAACTTGAGCGAAGGGCTGTTTTTATGAAGGCATGCCAGTCAGCCTTGGATCAGTGATACTTGAAAGTGGCTAATAGACTCAGTCCTGGTATCTCCTTGGACCTGTGACGAAGTTTCAGAACATCGGGGAAAAGATCGAGTATGAGATTGCACAACAGCCTATATTGGCTTTCAGAGTCTCTGGCAGTTCTCCTTTACCCGAAACAGGCGAGTTCCAGGTGGTTTGTGCGAAAACAGTACGTCTCGTGTCCTTTGCTTTAGATGCATACCTAGACAGAGATTTCTAGGAGGTATTTGTAGAATGTATCGGTCTGACGAGAACAGGAGAACCCGCTGCGGTATCATATCACTCCAACAGGCCTCATCTTCACGACCATCTCAGATGAAGCACCTAGCTTTCATGATTATTTTCCGGACCTGGAGCCACTGTTGCGGCGAGTAGATTTTACCAGACTACCCTACAGGCACAGTATTAAATACGAAGGCCGATTCAACTGGAAGACCATGTAATCTCCCTGATAGTGGATACTAAGTGAACTCGTGCTTATATCGCAACTGCAGGGTCGATGGGTATCAAGAATGCCTTCACTGCCAATACACTCATCCATCGTTCTCCGTTTACTACCCGCCGACCTTCTACACCGTTCACAATCACCAGAACTTTTCGCAACACATTGCTGATCCCAACAAACCAGACGATGGACTGTTTCTCTATTTCTTCCCGAACTGTACATTGAATGTGTACGGTGGCGGGATGTCTTCGTTCCGGGTTTGCCCAACAGAAGACCCAAATATCACCCGAATGGAATTCGACTACTACCACATGGAATCCGGCGAGAAGTTCGAAGAATATTTCAAGTTCGTCCGGCAGGTGGCTATGGAGGACTATGAGCTCTGCGAGAAAGCCCAGGATAATCTTGGGAGAGGGGTGTATAGTGAAGGGATTCTGAATCCGGAGAAAGAGAATGGAGTTTCCTGTGAGTAAGACAGATTCCGAAGCTTCTAACCCCACCAATAACGCCTTACAGTCTACCAGGACCGAGTATTTGAGTTGGTGTGCCAGCAACATGCTGCAGATCAGTTAGTGGAGGAGAGTGTCACTCCTGTGACACAAGAACAAGATAAGGGACTTGACCAAATTACGGCCGCCGCATAAGCATAGCTAACTGCAGGCGGGGCCCATTCTGGCAATTTTGTGTTTATGATAGCCTGGATTATCCTTTATTGCGAAAGTCAAAGCTCAACGGCATGATCTATTGGTAGTTAATACTTGATCAAAATCTGAGGGTTTTAAATGCCATGTAACCCCCAACTTAGAGGAACAGCAAACCATGCGGTTAACTGAGATCATATGCCACGTTCAGAGAACCTGTTACTTCAAGTGCCCCTGGAAAATTCATCCTAATCTGGCAAACTTATGAGCGGTCAACACTATTTGCTGGCTAACCTCGGAGGATGTGATAACAGATATGCAGACATGCGGAGGCGAAGGCCAAAGACCATCGAGCCCTGAATCTTGTAAGTCCTCTTTGTGCTCGACAAAACCTATTTATAGATATCCCCAAGTTCCTGAAAGCTCCGGGGGCAAATATTTTTTTAGGAGGTTTACAGGTACTTTTAAATGGGAACCACCATGGAAGCGTTCACCTTCCCGACAGCACCCACGGTGCTTGCACTGCTAGCTGGGATTGCTTTTCTATATCGGTTCTGGCCACACACTTCAACTTCAAGCTCTAAGCTATTGGGTCTTAGGAAATATGAGACCCTCGATACTATCACAGATGCCGCGGAAGAGGAAAATCGTGGAGTCTCCAAAGAATCAGATTTCCCAGAAGGCTGGTGGGTGCACAAGGATGTTTTCGAGCTCGAGAAGCGTGCAATATTTAGTAAGGTAAGTTAAATATGCCACTAAACAACTGCGTTAAAGATGCACTATCTAATTTAACATCTAGACATGGCTGTGTCTCTCCCATAGCAGTCGCTTTGCGAAGGCTGGTGACTATCAATCCTACGAGGTGGCTGGGTTTCCTATCTTTCTGATCTTAGGAAAAGATGGGAAGATCAGAGCTTTTCACAATGTCTGTCGTCATAGAGCATACACAGTCACGAAGAAGGAATGCGGGTCTTCTGCGGTGCTTGGTTGTCGTTATCATGGCTGGAGTTATAACACCTACGGCGAGCTGACCAAGGCTCCTCATTTCGATGATATTCCCGGCTTTGACAGATCACAGAACAGCCTATTCGCCATTCATACGGTTACGAACGGAGCTGGCTTTGTGTTCGTTAACCTTGAGGCTAGCCCAAGGATCTGGCCGGCCGATACAGGTCTTTTAGATGCCTTTGCGAACAACAATAGACTGAGCTCTCAGTCTATCTGGGTAGCAGGGCAAATAATCAAGGCAGATTTCAACTGGAAAATGGCGCGTGAGTTGATCTATTGCTCCTTTACTTCGTCTGGTGTCTGACTTTCTAGTAGTCAGGTCGAAGCAATTGATCGACATCGTCGAATTGGAAAATACAATTGGGCATAAAAGATATATACCCCAAGTGAGCAGTATCTTGGACCGTGTTAGGGCGAAACCAGAGCACTTTTTGCTCTTCCCCATTACCTCCTTTCACTCCATCCAGAGAACTGGATGGTGGTATGTACTGAGCTTCTTACCAGTATCTGAGCAGAAGACGGCAATCCGATACGATCTGTACTGCTCGAAGGGTGTTAGTTCTCATTCCCAGGTAGTCGCGGATAAATTGGGCGAACTTTTGGAGGAGAAAGCTCGAGAACTAGAAACAGAATATCAAGAGTATGTTCTGGAACAGAGCGTCAGCCTAAAATGCGTACTGACTACTGCCCGGACCTCAAGGATATTCGCATCTGGGCCCCCAAGCCTTCACACTGAAGAGATAGGTAATATCTCCTCCTTTTCTTCTTTTATTCGTGGGGCTTTTTTGTTTCTCCATGAGCGCTGAAACTATTCCGCCTGGGTAGAACCTCAGAAGAATATTCTCGACTGCCTCGAAGCTCATATCAAGCTGGAAAAGGCACAGGGGACCGAAGTGTTTCCAGCGAGGAGAAAGCAAAGGGAGAATTCCAGGTTTCAGCAAGCTGAACAACGTTAGTACCGTCTAACTCGTATCAGCGTGTGTTCTGAGAGCGCTAATAATATATGGCAGTCTGCAAGGAACTCGACTGTAAGAGCGAGCTCCGAGGAAAAGATCTCGCATGGTAAATCCGTGTATGTTTCGAATTTTCTTTATTCTTGTTGATTTCTTTTTCATTGTTCGCGTTCGCATTTTCCCAGTCAGGATAGACGTACTGCGCAGTATAGCGTCCTTACCGAACGTATCAGTGGAATCTTGGCACCGTTGTTGCAATCTGGTCAATAGATAGCTCATTAATTAATAATTCCGAGTCGTCTCAGATTCGCACCTTGGCTTTTACTCCTTCCCGATGTGACTAGAAAGAAGCAGACAGACCCTCGAGAAAAAACTCCCGGTGGATCGTACCGATCGGATTCAGCATCGAATCATATTGAATGGGCGTGTAAACCTTCCTCTTTCTCACCATTGACCATTGCTCCGTTAAAACGATCAACAGTGAATTGCACTCCACATCCCCAGCGCGTCGGACCGCACAGGGCGGACCCTCGTATCCTTAAATATATTGGGGTGCCTCTGCAGAACTGACAGTTGAACATCAATCCTTCCGCCTTTTTTCTTTTTTCTTGTTCATTTTCTTTTCTTCTTCGTCTCCCGGGGCCCGAACGTCCAGGTTTCTGCTGTCGACGTTATCGAGCCAATCAGCTTGCCCAACCAGAGTAAGGCTGTGTTCTGTACCCGTTTCGGCAAACTCGTATTTAGCGTACGTCGCTTGAGGATTAACGGCGATGATCGATCATGGCGGGCGTTTACGAGTGGGAATCCAGCTAACTTTTCGTATTTACCAGGCAGTTAGTCACTGGACAGTCGGTCATTAGTTATGGCGCTCCCTCCCATCGCGAAGGCCACTCTACAAGCTGCGCTGATTAATGCCGGGTCGAATGTCCTGGCGCAGAGCATTCAGTCATATAGAGATGAGGTAAGTAGTATACTATGCATGTAACATGGGGGCGGGGGGGCAGAGGGTAAGACACCTTAGCAAATTGGCCCCCAATACCTATCCTGGATTAATTCATGCATGCCGCTAGTAAGAGGGGAGGAAAAGACAAAAGAAAAGAAAAAGAAAGGAAAAAAAAATAGGCTGACGGCTTGATTCGCTAATCGGCGCCATGGTCGGAGAGTTATATGCATCGAATGATTATGCATCAGCACTCTCTCCATGATGCGCGCCGGATAGCTTCAAACACTTCCATAGAAACCGTTCGAACTGGATCTGCAAACGCTGTTTCAATTCACAACATGTGCTTTTGTGATGTCCCCCATGACCTTCCTGTGGTTGGAGGGTCTGGAATCGGTACTTCCAGGCCATCCTAGCGAGGAGCCCGCCGCCACCAAGTCAAAGACCGAAAAGGCGGACCAGCCCAAACAAAAGAAGTTAAATGTGAAGAACACGGTGGCAAAGATCGTGATCGACCAGGTCGTCGGTGGCGCCTGGGCTACCGTCCTTTTCAGTTTGACCATGGGCCTGCTGCGCGGGCAAGACTATGATGTTCTGGTGGACCAGATTCGCCATGTCCGTATATCCCGATATCACTCATGGCTGGAATGAGATATTGTTTTGCTGACTTACGCTGGTCTAATAGGATTTCTGGCCCCTCCTGATCGCAGGATTCAAGCTATGGCCATTGGTCTCGATTCTGAATTTTACTGTTGTTCCAGCAGATAAGAGACTGTTGGTTGGTAGTATATTCGGGGTCGTCTGGGCGGTTTACTTGAGCTTGATGTCGGGGTAATTGGGCGGCAGCGCTGGGGCGTTTTGCCGTGAGATCCGACGCATTGTGTACCGGAACCGAATATACTAGTAGGCGAAGTGGTATCTACTTTTGGGAAATGGCTGGGATGACCAGATAATAAATGTGTTGGTGGAACCCATTCGAGACTAAAGAATTGGGGCAGGAAAGACGTAATAGTGTCAAGGGGCCGAGCGGGGTTGAGGATGATCATGATGCTAGATAGATAGCGACAACCTGCTGCATCGTCGGCAGCTCACCGAAATGAACAGAATCGACTAGGTTGAGCGAAATTGCCACGTTTTTTCTCTCTCCTGTGCCCCCAAACACTAGTATCATCTCGATCGGGGGAGCCAGTCAGACATGGGAAGAAAGACATGTCTCTGGAGAAACTTAACTTCCAGCCAACAAAGAAGATAGTTTGGACGATCAGGATCATGAATTATCTCACCCCACATGAAACAGCCTCCCTTGAGCGGGCCCTGACATGTACCATCATCAATGGCGCTGCCGTACAACCTAATATGTGAACACATACCGGAGCGGGACATAACTCCCGAGTCAGCCTACGAGGCACAGCTCCCGTTGATAACGTACCTTCGAGTAAGCAGATCAGCTTGTTCCGAACATTACTCGGGAACATCAAAAAGTTGCGGGTTGGAATGGAACGGGAGGGCAAGGCGTACAACAAAGAACCAGTCGGGCTGATCTTGATCCACATTCTCTTGATGCGAGGAAGACTTATTTGCTCTCCGATGTGTTCGGGCCTTGGGGTTTGCCCACAAACCCTAACTCAAATGATGGGTGATGGACTCGGTGAAGGGGGACTCGAGAAGGCCAAGAGTTTGACATTCAATAGTCACCGTCTAAAGTAGTACAATAAAGTGTTTAATTACTGTACAGCATGAATGACCTAGGGTATGAATATGGGACGCGAATTCCCAGCGTAAGCTGCATGAGAAAGGGCCGGAAGAAAGACCCCGGTCAAATTACAGATTACCACTATTCTGGACGAGGTTACGCTGTTTCCACCCTAGAAAGCCCATTTAAAAAAAAAAATGAAAAAGAAAAAGAAAAGAAAAGAAAGAACGAATTGCCTTTTTGGGGAAATCCAGTGAACGAAAAAGAACGTGTTTGTTTCCCTTGCATGAGATTCCAAAAGATTATTGGAGGCTGGAGTGCAGGTCATCTTGGGTCAGCAAGAGTCAAACAGGATCATGACTGATTAATACTCTCAAATGACACTCATTACTGACGTTTAATAAACAAGAGGGGTAAAGAGTAAAATTACTATTAACAGAAACAATATATGAATAAATTAATTGCTATTGCATGAAGGATAAGACCATTCCCTGGGCCAGTGTGAAGAAAACCGCATGGTCGGCGTGGCACAGCCCCCGGCGTGAGGATCAACAACCTACCCAAGACAAACTTACTCTGTATCTTGATTTAGCACTGTTCTTGTCGATACGAACTGGTATGCCGATCCATTTCCATGTAACTTCTGCTCGTGGTCCGAGGGGGTTGGGAATTCGAAGGAACTGCTCATCATCTTGGAAGGATACTACTAGTAATGGCATGGCCAAGGCTACTAAGTTTATCATCAAACAAAGAAGATTAATGACTTCTTTTATAATCTTTTCTGGGGAGAGACTCTCAGACCTAGAGTGTGCCTGAAATAGATCGTGTACGGTACGTATCCTGTAATGTCTGTCTGGAAGGACGGATGTACCGTAACCCACTCGTGTGTGTGTGTCACTCGTGACCCTCCGAAGGAAAAAAAGACTAAAATCTCTCCGTGCATTAGCCCGAGTGGAACCAATTTAGTTCCTCCCCCCATTCACATTCCCCAAAATGTACATGGGCGTCAGCCCAGTGGCTCAAGTGTCATTCCAGGTACCCCCATAATTAGATCATATCATGTCCCTCTCTGCAGCGAGACGGTTGAACTGCATTCCCAGAGAAAGTTCAAACCTATTACAATTGTGGACCATGGGGCACAGTTCGACCCAAACCCAAGGCGATAAGACGCTATAGTGCGACACTCGATATAAGTTCGCACCACCTCATCTTTCCCATCTCTCCCGCAAATTGTTCGTAACTCCTACCCTAGGGTCACTTTTTGTCCGTTTCCACCCCCACGAGCTAACTGGCTCGTTGGATCTTCTCCTGAGCAACCGACGCTTCCACGACCAGGATTGTGCTAACCAATCCCAGCAGGTGGTCTCCGCGGGTCTTTGTTTGCGTCCGCCCCAAGGTTCTTCAAGGTCAATTAGCCATTGAAGCCCTGACAAAGAACCGGTGCGCGTGTGATTACCTGCATTGCATTATCTCCGTCCATTTGCATCCCCTTTTGGGACCCTGGACGTTTTGCAGACGTCGATTTCCGGTGGTTGGACATAAAGGGGGAAATCCTTTGGCCTGAACTGGCCACAAACTGACCTCACCATCTTTTGCGACGCCGGCGGAACCGCGATTGGTAAGATTGGCATTCTTGGAAACAACAAAGACGACTTCCAAGGGTCAAACGAAGACCAATGTACTGGGTGGGAAAAGACCCGGGAGTCTGGTTTGTCGGATTGTACCATCACCACGGGAGCATCAGACACGCCAAGTCGTTTTAAGGAGGGGGAAAACACGACCTACACCTTCACAGCCTCTATCCAACTATTCATAGACCTTCACAAGATGGGCATACTAAGCTCGCAAGGTGGACTTTCCTCACCTGCCCCAGGGTCGTACAAGACACCGATGGTAGCGAAGCGCGAGGCGTTCGCAAGTGATTATGCGAATAACGTGTGCTGGTTTGATGCAGAAGACGACCTCGAGAGCGACGATGGATCCATTTCACCCGTGTCGGATCCACGGCAGGATCGGAAGTCAGGAAACCACTGGGCTCGCTTTTTCCCCGAACTATCATCGCATTTCTCACTCGTGTCCCCGATAAGCACCATGACACCAGCAACCTCCTTATCCCTGTCATCCGCCGAAACACAGCATTCCACTGATCCCAGACCCCACGCTGACGAGGTAGGACAGAAAGCTGGTTCCTGTTCATCGTCCTCGCCGGAGGGTTCCTCGTGCTACAGTCGGAGATCTTCGGCAACAAGTCTGGACTCTGGATCCCCAGGGTCCACTAAGAAGCGGGCTGATACATTTTCGGTAGTGTCCCCCGCTGATGCAGGGGTCTTTGAAGATCTGGCGTCAATACGACGGCCACCTTCTCGCCCCTTGGTAAAAAAGCTCTCTGCAGCCGAGCTGAGGAATAAGCCTCTCCCACTCGAGCCTGCCATTCGACTGACCCCACTCTCCGTCCGTCATAAAGATCCACCTAAAATCCGTACATCTACATCCGCTAGCCCTCAGAGTGGGAAGTCAAGGCTCTCTGTGGCCGCAGAGGACTTGGAAAACACACTCTCCGGTTTTAGAGCAGATTCACCTACAATCCCTTTACACTTACTTAACGAGCCACTGCAAATTAGCAGAGGCAAGATGGAGATGATTCCTTCGCGCCCAGCACCACAACCTCCAACCGATATGCGACAAAAACGAAAAGTTGAGGCGCGTGAAGATGAAAAGGCGAGGAAGAACAAGGGGGCTTTCAATTTCCATTTGTCAGGTTTTAGCAGAAAATACAGCCATCTACATGCCCGCTCGTGGAGCAGCCCGAATATGAGATCGGAGGCGGGGTCTTCAGCCGTGTGCGTCCCGGAGGACTCCGACTGCAAAGAACGTAAGAGCAAAGATGACATGGCAGGCCTGCCTAGCTTCCCAAATCCGAACCAGATCTTGGAGCCTCTATCTCAGTCCATTGAAAGGGAGCTGCGCATGCAGCTTCCGCGGCTGCAGGTAAAGGGGACCAAAACCGCCTGCTCACCAATCCAGGAAATAGAGCCCAGTACAGAAAAGGAAGCCATTCAACGTCCCGAGAAGGTGGAGGCTTCGCAACGCCAAAAATCACCGGATCAAGTTATTTTCAAGGAGAAGTTTTTTGTGTCTTCGAGCAAGATAACGGTTTCTGTCTCTAATAATGTGTCTCACCAAATGGATATAGCGGAGCTCCCAGAAATGGTCTATGAGCTCGACGGCGGCGCCCCGGAATCTCAGAGGAAGCCTACGATTTCAGATTACCTGCCTACCTTACCCATGCCCGGGAACCTGCCTGACAAGGTTGTCCTTGCCTTTTTACGCCAAGTGTGCTCGCTTGACGATCTTTTTCGTCTTGCAATTATTTCCAGACAGTTCTATCGTGTTTTCAAAGATCATGAATTAGAACTTATCAAAGGCGCTGTCTTCACAATGTCCCCTCCCGCGTGGGAACTACGCGAAATGAGCCCGCCATGGAGTACCGAATGCAGATCCTGGTGGACCCCGACACCCCAGTCCCAGAATACACCCCTGCTCTGTACCTTCAACGCTATGCCCAAGATATCTATACGCTTGCTCAACTCAAATTGCTCATTTTAACTCGATGTGAAACGTTTCTGCGCCAGGAAACGATCCGCGGTCTTACAGGCAAGGACGATGCCTGCGCCAAGGAAATTGATGATGCCCTTTGGAGAATCTGGACGTTTTGTCGTATTTTTGGTTGTGGGAAGAGCCGAGAGGGTGATGTTGTTGGTCAGGTGGACTGGCTGAACGGGGGTGCTATGGCTGTGAGCGACCGCAAGCATGGGGCCACGGCGTCGGTTACCGAGCCATTCGGCATGCATGACATTCTGTTCGAACCTCCGACAGGGTTTGGGCATGGCAACAAAGGCGGATTATCAAACGATCAACTGTATTATATGACTGAGATATGGACCTGCTTGGGCGTGCTCCTTCAACCAATCCATGGAAGATGCAAAGAAGCACGTGAAGCCGGCATATTTGCAGGTCATCAGGTAGCAGAACAGGACAATGCTAGGGCGGCAGGTGTGTTAGGTCAGTATCCATTTGTCCTCTGCCATTTTCGTCCCAGTCAGGCTAATACGTCGAATAGAGGAATGGACGTACTATGTTCTCACACTTGGCCCTTCAGCAGTTCTGAACATGGCCTGGACCGGCCCCGGAGGCTGCGCGGCGACCTTGAGAAGAGCCCAGTCTATCGGTTTGACCAAGTGGGACTATTCCGAGTCTGGAGTTAGCCGCTCGTCCTTTCTCAAGGAAGCGGTTTCGAAAGCCTATAAGTCACGATGTGAAAGTCCGTGTCAATGGCCTCCACGAAAGTCGGAGGACGGTTTCCCTTCTTCTTCTAATAATACAAGCTCCCCGTCAAGTGCCAATACAAGAGCGGCCCAGCTTCAACTAGAAAATGAACGTCGGAGACAGGCAGCCTACGCTGACCAGCTACGAAACCAACCGAGACGGCCAATGAACGCAGGCCCCACTCGTTTCCGACGAACGCCCCATCTCAAAATACTCATTCATCATGAGCCGCCTTGAAGGTGTGCCATACGAGCAACGTCCGCCAATGCCTGCACCCCCCACGATGACGTCTTACGTTGCGTATTGTGGTCCGCCGAGCAGTCAATATGCAGTCAAGTCCCGACCGCCGCTTGCTACGTACCAACAACCCCAGGTCCGCGATCCCGTGGACCAGGCTATTGACATGATGGTGCGGGAGCTGGGTTTCCAAGAAGAAGACGCCAAATGGGCGCTGAAAGTTACAGATAGCGGGGAGGGGATCAACGCGAATGCTGCAGTCTCTCTACTTATCAGAGAGCACCAGAATTACCAACGCAACAACAATGTCGTTTCTATGCGAGCATATCGCAGCAACAGCCTCTTATCTTCGGTCATCGCCAGCCCAGAATCCATGAATTCTGTCTGGAGATGGGCCTGAAAGTCATATATTCTCCATGACGAAGCATATCGCTTGTACACTCATTTCGATTTTATTTTCCTTCGGGTTGTTTGACTTACAACGAACTATATAACGCCATTTTGAAAGCAGAGGCGCCGTGCGCCGTTTTTGATTATGAAACATTTGTTCACACACATCGCCTCAGCCCGAGCCTTGTCGCTGTACCAGATTATGATACCCACTATGTACGATCCTTTCTTACGTCTCTTTCCTACATACCAATGATGTTGTATATTAGATATCTCAAGAGAACATGGATAAACTACCTTTCAATGCCGTTTGGTTTTCACAGTTGATGCAATTAGAATGGAGTATTTTCATGACTCATATTAGCGTACATTCTGACCATCCACAATTAGAGACATAATTCATTCCAGAGATTACATTAACTAAAATGCCACTTTTGCCTTTTAACACAATCCCCCGTGCTCCCAAGCAAGCACGAAAACAATTAGAAGGCAACCGTCGAGGCGAGACCATCCAGTTCACGCTTGTAGTTCCGGTGCTGACTGATCTGGTAGAAGAAAGTGCTAATGAAATCCTTCGCATCCCTGACAATCTGGATGCCTTCTTTGAAGGTCTCAGGTTTCTGGATCTTACCAGCCGTGACAATACCATACCACTCAACAGGTTGCGGATTGTCGGGCGTAGCGACTTTCACATCAAGCGAGGGTCTCAGTGCCTCCTTGATGAAAGCCGCCGCTTCACCAGTGGCGCCCAGAGCCTTGAGGTGACCGAATGTCTCGATGAGCCAGTACCGGATCTGGCCATTGGCCTTGAGACTTTCGATGTGAGGGCCGCCAGGGATGAAGGTAGCATCGAACATCGTCGAACGCTGTCCATCATACTGGTGGTCGGCGATCACGCCCTTGGAAGACGACTTGTCCTCGCCATCGGCATAGATAGGCGACCGTTTGGTACCAATGACGAACGGCAAGGCTCCAGCCGCCTTGATAGCGCCCTTTAGACCGTTGAAGGCGACGGGGTCGTAGCCGTCGCCGATAATGATGGCAATCCGGCGACTGGCGATCGTCGGCTGCTTACCCGGGAACTCGGTCTGCGAGAGGTGCTTGCTGCGCTTTCCATGGTTCGGGCGGAGCGCCTTGTCCGGAATGGGGGCGCCGACGAGCTCGGCGACTTGCTGGGCGAGGGTGAGATCGATCTCGGCGAGACGGTGGCCGGCGAGACGCTCGTAGACGATGGGGTCGTCGCAATGGTCCAGTTCGAAGCCGAAGGCTTTCTTGACGTGGACCTTCTCGTGCTCAGAGAGGGAGTTGTAGAAGAGCTGAGCCTGGTTGTGGTGCTCGCGGAACTTGGGGCTCAGGCCACGCTTCTTAATACCGTTCAGTTTCGCGGGGTAGGACGCGAAGCCACCTTGTTCTACCGGTGCAGGTCGTCCGGCCTCGAACCGGTTCGGCCAGTAGTTGACGGTGCCCTGGGCGATGCGGTGGCGTTTGGCGCCGTCTCGGTTGTGGTTCAGGACGGGGCAGACGGGGCGGTTAATGGGGATCTCTTCCCAGTTGATGCCTAGCCGACTGATCTGGGTGTCGAAGTAGGAGAAGTTCCGGCCCTGGAGGAGCGGGTCGTCACTGAAGTCAATGCCGGGGACGATGTGGCTGGTGCAGAATGCGACTTGTTCGGTTTGAGGGAAGAACTCGTCGACGTTGCGGTTCAGTTCTAGTTCGCCAATCACGCGCAAGGGCACGAGTTCCTCGGGCCAGATCTTTGTCGCGTCGAAGATGTCAAACTCGAACTCGTCCTGTTTCTCCTCGGGGATGACCTGGATAGCGAAGTCCCATTTCGGGTATGCACCGTTATCAATGGCCTCCATGAGGTCCTTGCGATGGAAATCGGGATCCTGGCCGGCCAGTTTCAGGGCTTCATCCCACACCAATGAGTGCACTCCCAAGTGGGGGATGAAGTGGAATTTAACGAAATGGCGCTTTCCTTCCTTATTGACGAGACTAAATGTATTGACTCCGAAACCCTGCATCATACGGTATGACCGAGGAATGGCCCGGTCAGACATGGCCCACATGAACATATGGGTGGCTTCCGGGTGAAGATAGACAAAGTCCCAGAAGTTGTTATGAGCAGTTTGGGCCTGAGGCACTTCGTTATGCGGCTCGGGCTTGACGGCATGGACTACTGCTGTTAGTGTTTGAATCGTACACTCCCTTAGCAGGGAAGAGATGCGTACCGAAATCTGGGAACTTGATCGCATCTTGGATGAAGAAGACGGGGATGTTGTTTCCAACCAGATCCCAGTTTCCCTCGTCCGTGTAAAATTTCACGGCAAACCCACGAACGTCGCGAACCGTGTCGGCACTTCCTTTACTGCCTTGGACCGTGGAGAAACGAAGGAACACTGGAGTGTTCCGGGAGGTATCCGTCAAGATACCCGCGTAAGATACATCTTCAGCGCTCTCGTGGAGCTTGAAGTTTCCGAATGCAGCGGTGCCACGCGCATGGACGACTCTCTCGGGAATGCGCTCATGATCGAAGCGATGAATCTGGATTGCGGTTAGTCAACGATCTACCTCTGATTGATGCCAATCCGGGGAATCGTACCTTCTCTCGTGCAATCTGGTCCTCAAGCATCATCGGTCCGGTGTGGTTATCATTCACCTCCTTCAGCCAGTGGTCTGTATCGCTGATGCGCACGCCATGATCGGTGGTCAGTGGCTCCTTGCTGGACTGTACATCATGGGTGTCGGGTGCTAGGTCAACTAGCTTCTTATCCTTTGAAGCAGCGCCCTGTACTGCTTCTTGGACCTTGTGGAGGCCCCCAGCCACGACGTTGGCCATGATTGGGATTTGATGGATCAGGGACGATCAGATGGTCGGAGATAAGATTAAGATAGAATACAAACTATGTTTATGAAACAGTCATTACTTGCGTGAGAGAAAGACGTATACAGAGATGCAGGAGGAGCAATATCATAGCTAAGGTATAGTACAACTAATCTTCAGCTTCTTATACCTCAGTAATGAAAAACGTCTGAATGGATGTTAGGGTTGGGTCCCGCACGTCAAAATGACGTCGCAGGGTTGATGAACGTCACGTTGACATCGAACTAGTTTTTTTCTTTTTTTTTTTTCTTTTCTCTCTCTTTATATACAAAAAGATGAGTAATGATTATTTGGAGCCATGGACATTGGTCAGGTTATGTTCTTGATTACTCTCATGGGAAACATTGTTTTTCGTTCCTTGTTTATGAACTTTCGTCATCGGGAGAGTCGAGTCTCTCTTATCGGGGCTTATCGTGAAAGTATGGACAATCCACAGTAACATACTCTGTCTCCACACAGAGCTCTTTGCCAGGGAACTCCCCTGCCCTTACTCGAATCGTCGCAAGAACGGTATACGAAGGAGGACTGGGCTTGGACCTCTGGGGGATTGTCCGGAATTTACTGCCAGTAATTGACAATTGGACGCCCTTGATTGACGGGTTATTGAATAGAATTGATAGGACAACCGGGCTAAAGGCTAATTGATTGATGAGCTTGCCCTAAGTGACGAAGTGGGGAGCTGTAGAGGAGAATGGGCATTCTCTCTTATCTTCACTTGGAGTGTTCCATTGTACTCGTTTTATTCTCCCTGATCTCTTGGAGGTCAAAAGTCATTCCATCACTCTTAATATCGATTTCTTGCAACTCACGTGGTCTCGAACTAGTCATCTCCTCCCCCAAGCATAAATGAATGGTCCTTCCACAAACAATCTCCGACTTCGCCTGCTGGCCAGCGTCGTGCTCAGTCCTCTGCGGATACTACAATCGCCACGAACCTAGTAATGGGGCCAGAGAATTCTCCGATCTAACTATTGCTGAACTATGTCAATTATTGAATCCCATCAACTGGAAGGGTGGCCATTTGTGACCTGTCACCTTGATTCGGCGGGTATGCGTGGCGATCATCGGCGAGAAAAGTCAAAGAACCCAGACCCTGCCAGATTATGACAGGTGAGACGCCAATTCCATTGTTCCGACTGTGCTCCATAATGTGAGAAGGTTATCATCATTCATTCCACTGGGGAAAGGGAACAGAACTCAAAATGAAGACAGATAGTCAACGGAGATCCTGCGATGAGTAGAAGAACACTGTGAACGATTTTCTGACCAGGTTCGACGCAAGGGGCCCGCTGTTTATTGCGCAGGGGAGCGAGACGAGGATAGACGAAAAATATCAAAGGAAACTGTTACTGGTCGATCTATCTGCAGGACGTTCTTGTCGCATCCGTTGGGTTTGCAGGCGATGTTCGCCCGGACCATCTCGATCGCAGTAGGGCAAATCAACTAAACCCTTTCATCTCCGTCCAGAATGCGTCAGTCAATCATGGCATCTAGAATCGGGACCAGTTCCTTGTCATTTAACATTGCCCCCCCCCCCCCCCCCTAAAACCCTCTTGTTCCGCTGGGATGCGAGGGGTGAAAGAACCCGAAACTCTCCCATTTCCCACCTTGAAACAGGGGAAATGATGCGGCATAACCGTATAACCGTTGACCATGGGTGTCCCCATGGAGAAGTCAAAAATCCACCAAATTGGTCCGCATATGCGCGTTGGTAAATCCCACAGTTCATTGAAAATGACGCCTCACCCAGGCTCTGGAGCTTGACGACCCTCACAACTGTGAACTTCGAGTGCTTGCAATCTGTCCAGGTTTGCTTGTTGACTTTTTCACTTTTTCTTCCCTGTCTCCCTCCCTGTGTCCCTTCCGTATGATGGCTATGCAGTACGATCGTTATCAATCACCAACCGTAGATCGGTGAGCTTTGTAGCCCCCACCCTAGATACAGATCAATTGCCCACTAACTGCCCATAACGATTGACTAGGGTTGTCGACGACAAATTGCCATCCGACACGAGGCGAGAATTGGAGAAGCACATTGTCTTGAGTGACGCATCACATACGACGGGGCTAGGATCACAAACGCGTATCCTACGAGCTTCGGACGTTCTGCTATCCTTGGCGGGCAGATCGAAGAGCGGTATGCTGCTTCCCAGTTACATACATATCGATGCATGGGTGATGGTTTACGGGGAGCTAATCAAGCATGAATTGGAGTACTAGATACGCAGGAACCATCGGTTGCTGTTGAGAGTTTACAGGAAGTGCTTCGTTTGTATCCACCATTCCGAGATGATGATGGCGCTATTCTTGGGGCGGTCGATATCCGATGCCCGGACTGTGATGCGGTTTTTTCCTCCTCGTGCGTTTACATCGCCTGTGGACGATAGATGGCCTTTAGTTGACGGCTGATAGGAAGGAATTGGAACAACATTACCTGACCAAGTACTGTCCTGGGACTGCGGTTGCTGTATATTTGATGACACGAGATCGGTAGGTCATCCAGTCACTTTCCGCATCTCTACTAATTGCTTGGTTCTAGTTTAATCACAAAAGGCTATCGCATGGAGAAGCGATTCATTCCACTAGACTCTCGACCAGTTAGATTCTACTGCGGCATGTGCGAGAAACATTTTGCCATCGACGACGATAAACCTCTAGATAGACAACGATGTAGGGCATACTGCCCTTATATCCAGAATGTGGGATTAACAAGTTTTGCAGATGCCCCATCATACGTCCAGTGCAGACATTGTGGAGAAAAGTGCAACATCTCGTTAGTACTCACTTGGCCATGGTACCCATTTATGCACAAAACGTTCTGACCTAGCGGTTCATAGATATGAGCCTGTATTGAACGACCCGCGGGACGACGTAAGCTTCCGAGATATCCAGGGGGGCATTGCAAGTCCCGTCGACAGCCGGAGTCCTAGCATCGCTCAAATGAGCTCCCGAGGGCTCAAATCTCCGGCAACGGCAAACCCTCATGATCAGTCGATCGTTAAGAAGGCCAAGAAGTTCCGAGACTCATGGTCACTCAGAAGTATGCTCCTTTCTGCAAACAGCCGGCGTGCGTCACTGACATCAGGGAGAGTTTTCACAAAGTGACGAAGATGAGCTAGTGGCCATCAGCTTTGCAGGTTTTTATGATCTAGAAAGAGGTGTGTCTGTGCTAGGTTTATGAATTGGTGTTTTATGTTGCTGATGTGTCATACAGCACACGCCCCAAACGGCCTCTATCAGCCCTTTGAAGGCAGCACGGCAGAGACGCATCCCGGTCAGTCAGCGACGAGTGTTACTTTGAGCGGTACGACCTTACAACGAGCACCATTCACCGGGAAGTAGGAGGCTAACTGGCTGATGGCTAGCAATCAATGACGTACCAGCATATGGATCGAAGAGCTCTGGTCTAGCTTTCTACGAGAATGAACATCATAGGAATGATATACACGGCTCAGATGGTGAACTATTGGATGAAAGTCAAAACGAAGCAATACCTCGCAGACAGTCTTTCCTGGAGAAAATCTTTGGTCGGAAAGTCTCCGAGGGTATGTAGGGCAAACCTCCGCATAAGAATTTAAGGACTCATTTAATGCAGGTATATCACGCGCGCGTTCAACATCGGGCCGACGCAAGAAATTGATCAAAAAAGCAAACAGCATCCGATTCTCTTTCGTCAACAAACACTCAAGGAGCGAAAGTAGGGCAGCTACGCTTGAAAGCGCACGGACTTCGGTAGAGGTGGAAAAGGCAGCCGAACTCAGACAGCAGGCGAATCAAACACCTCTTCAGGATGCCGAATACATTGCCTCGCTGAGAGAAACTAAAAACATATACATTCATGTACAGCATCTATCTGGAGGCATTGTAGTCCACGATTCATCCGGACGTCAAAGAATACTCCAAATGGACGAGGCGGCGCGACTTTTCTCGCAACTGAGGGATGAGCTTGCGGCCACTACTGCCTGGTCACAACCTCTTCTGACGACTCGACTCCGAGCAGAGGCATCTTTGAGGCAAGCAAACTGTCGAACAGCCGTAGTGGAATATCATGACGCCCTGAAAATTCTAGACACCGCTCCAGCGCTCGATGATGGCAAACTGGCGCGAGCTACCGTTCTGCATTCCATGGGACAGGCTTACCGCAACCTTGACATGGCCCCCCAGTCAGAAGCTTGCTACCTGGAGGCCTTAGCGCTTTACAAGCGGGCGCTTGGACGTGATAGCCCTAAGAACTTTTCTGTTCTGCACGACCTCGGGGCTCTATATGAGAGAGACGGATACGCCACAGAAGCAGCGGCATTATATGAACGCTCTTTCGCAGGTCGATTGAAGATGCTCGGCCACAATGCGCCTGAGACCCTCAGTAGCATGCAGGATCTTGCTTCTCTGAAGGTTTTACTGGGCGACCTGGAAGCTGCTTTGCACCTATTGGAGAAGGTGGTTCCAGCACTCGAAACCGTCTTTGGTCTCCAACATGCAACAACATTGAACGCGATGAATCGTTTATCTATCTTGTATCAGAAACTTGGTTTGGACAAGGAGTCCCGCGCAATAAGCCACAGGACCATTCCGCACTGCAGAACATTCTTCGGCCTCAACAGCCCTTTCACCAGAGACGCAGTTGTCCGGTATTTCCAAGATTCTAATAATTTTGACTTCCCCACTGATATCCAAGACATTCTCGACCACTACCAACGATCCCGAGACCCAGACTCCCTAAAAGTCATTTACCAACTAGGGAAATCATACATGGATAATGGTCTCAACCATGACGCAGCAGAGCTTTTCGAAGCACTAGTCGAGAAGTTCCTTACCATCAAAGGCCCCGAAGCTTCGGAGACCTTAGATGCACTCAGTGCGCTGTGTGTCTCTCGGGAGCATCAGGGCTCCATCGACAAGGCGATCCTTGCATACAAACAGCTCATCCATATGGCAAGTAGAATTCCAGCGGACCA